ATGTGTATTTTAGAAGTTATTTATAGCAGTCTGAAATGTAAACACTTACATGCAAAACAGACAGAAATCTAAAAATTGACCGGTGCAATAAAAAACGACATTTTTGACTGCAGTGTCTCTGAATTCTGCGTCATGCTCCACTTAAAGACTCCATATCCCAGAAGTCTGTGCGCCATAAGTGATGTCACCTGATAATGAAGAAGGGAGGGTGTGCTAATGTTTACAACCGTTGGACTGGTAGCAATTTTATCATTAAAAACTGTGATTTTTCCCAATATTTCTGCAGCCTATGAAATGGCAGTTAAGAAACAGTGCAAACTAAATGACTTCGTCTCGCCTTCAGGTAAAAAATATAACTTTTTACGAAGCATTTCGATCACTTAGCTTAATAAAGCTTGTTAGCACTTAGCTTGTCAACGTTAATAGATAAACAAGCAGCTAAACGTAGCACAGCGAGGCTACTTGCAGTGTTTACAAGACAAATCAGCAGGACGTGAACCTGAAGTCCTGTCAGTGAACTAGAGTTAACATTAAATTCAGCCATAACCTACTGCATTCATCTACTCTTCGACCTCCAGCCTATAACTATTTAATAGCTACTATAATAGCTAGCTTGTAAGCTGTGTCGCTAGCTCTCAGGAGATAAGGAAGCAGGGCTCATTTTACCACTAGAACTTTAAAGAGATTCACGCATAGCTACCCATTTAAAAATGAAAAATATACAGTTGAGTCATCCAACTCTTAGGGGCTGTTTCAACGTACAGTTCAACTCTATTTCCCAGTAACTTGTTCACTGATCAGTCTGCAGTGCTTCCAGGTTGAGTTGACACTTAGCTAGCTGGCACTTAGCCCACTGCCATAGTCGTGTTTGATGTCCAGGTGAGTGAAGATGTAAATGCAATTAGTGTTTGATGGCATGCTTGTTTTACACTGTCAGTTGCATGGTTGTCGCTTTTTTGATTTTTATTTATTTCTTTTTAAATTTATATCTATTTATGTATTTATTTTAAACCCTTTTTGCTTTCTGTTTTGCTGTGGCAGGTTTTTGCTAACTGTGACTCCCCGGTTGGTGTTGACTCACACTGGGTCACACAGTAAATCCGAGCTGACATCTGGGAGGTCCAGGGACAACATTTCAGAGTCTACATTGTGTTGGAAATCAGGTGTGTGTTTCAGTGCAAAATGGATATCCATATGTCACCTTTGCACCTAATATGCTGTCATTTACCGTTGACTTACTTTAAATTTGGCTTTAAGGCTTTTTCACCTAAAAACAATGTGAATTCTCAAACAAACAGTCTGGCAGGTTTGCACTAGCAAATGTTGTCGTGTTTATTTATTAGAAAGACCTTGATGATGTCATTTTATGTAAAGCTGCAGCTGTTTTTTTTTTATAGTTGATCAAACCTGCGATCATTTTTCTTTTGTCAAATGTTACTTTACACGATATTCTGTAAGAAAAAAAGCGTATGAAAACTCTCACATGTCTCTAAGAATGTGTCTTTCAATTTCTCAGCTCAATATACTGCAAAGATGGTTCTTTTCACTGTGACTGTATAACCTCTGGTTTCGGCTCTGATCTAAACATGTTGTTTCAGTATCTGTAGAGTAAAATGTGGATGAGCTGCTGCTGTGAAAGCTCAGTTTAGACGTACTCTGCGTTTGTGAATTACCACTTGGAGGAAAATGGTTGACGACACAACCATAAATGAGTGTGTCAGACCAGGACTTTGTATTGCTTTCAGTTTTCTCTCTGAGCGATCATTTTACAAGGAATTATCCCTGAATTTACAACACAGCTGTTGTTTTTAACTCGTGTATAGTGAATTTGTCAGGCAATATTGTAGTTACATATAATCAGTATGTTAGCAGTGAAGAGCCTGCCTCTGAAGTGACTGCTGTTTTAATAAGCTGTGTTTCAGTCACTTTTTTGTATGTAAAAAAAAAAAAAAAAAAGGACCGCTTTCTTGGGAACTAGGCTGTGTAAAAATACTGTATATGTGCAAACAGATACAGAGAGATGTAAACAATGGTGGAGTTAAGATTGGACTGAAGTACAACAGACACAACAGAGCAACCAAACAGTCCTTATTTATTGGTTTCAAAATGCTCCTGAAGTATCCACCATCAGTGATGTCCCTCAGCTTTAAAATGTCCCCATAGCGTTGTTCTGTGGGAGTACAATCTAAGCTAGTGTTAGCTGTGCAATGAACACTCAACATGTTTGTATTGTTGTAGGGACGTTGCCATCAAAGTTCAAAGTAAACCACTGGATCTTGATTTTTTCCTATGCTAGCAGTACATGAAGACTTTTGTATTCACCCTTGCAGCCAACAGCAGAACATTTCATGTCCTTTGTGTTCACATTTTAGAGTTAGGAGAAGCTGCAGACACAGACCCAGCCCATTTAGAACAAGGGTTATACAGTCGGGTAAAATGAACCATTGTTGCTATGTTTTGAGCTGAAATATTGAAAGACACATTCTAAGGATATGTGAGACTTTTATTATTTGTTGAGAAAAGCCACGTCATGGGGCTTTAAGATATAACAATTTATACACACGATTTGCATGATTTCTAGACATTAGCAGATTATTGGAGACAGAACGTACCAACTGTAATATTGCTGTACTTACTAAATCAATACATAGGGGTGTGTCACATCAATTTAATAGAAAGATAATTTGCTCCTGATGACGTCTTCTAATCTCAGCACTAGTGATCCAGTTTCTAAATCTCTCCTGTTTATGTTCATTGTGGATGTCTCATCAGCGTTCCGATGGAGTGGGTGTTCATCATGAACCGGATGAGCTCTCAGAGTAGCTCTGCAGCCCAGCGGAGGCGGATGGCGCTGGGGGTGGTGATACTACTGCTGGTGGATGTCATCTGGGTAGCCTCCTCTGAGCTAACCTCGGTAAGGACGTTGTCACGGTTGCACTTTAACCTATATAAATGACATCATGACATGAGACAGAGGGCGCAGATGTACTCAGTAACCACAATGTGCTGGGATGTTGTGGATTTAGCAGGCGTTGTGTTTATGACACAAGTTTGCTCCTTTCTGGCTGATTAGTTGGTGGATAAAGTACTCAAATATATGACTTGTTCATATTAACACTGTTATACCATTAAATATGAAAACTCAGATGCCAGATTTTAATTTAATAGTATTGGAAGTACCATATTGTTCTTGTGTTCTTGAACATTTACTACTATATGTGCTGCTGAATACCTAAAACTACAGGCTATTTCAGTGTTGTAACTCAAACATCTTATATTGACGTCAGCTGATTTCTTATGGTAATGGCACCGTTACTGGTTCGCAGCATTGCAGTAGTAGCTAGAAATAAAGGAAAGAAAACCATCAAACATACAGCCTCTCTTCACCAAAAATGTATTGTAGAGAAAAAAAATGAACATGTACACCAGTTACTGCAGCCATCTGATAGTTGCATTGTAGTGAATAATGCAGTGACTCTTTTTGAAAATGTAGTAAAGTGAAAATATCAACTTTTTTACTGTACTGAGTAAAGGTACTGTATCTTTAGACTCTCCTCTGTTCTTGGGGAAAAAATAATTTGGAACTAGAAACACTAAAAGTAATAAATAGAAGTTCATGTGAGGGAAACCTGTGATTAAACATATTCCAACTTGAAGTGCAGATCTGTGCAACCCAATTTTGTTTCTTTAAGGTGTAAAAAAAACAGAACGACTTTCCAACCGCACACGTTAGGGCCATCCTAACAGCTTCTTTCTCTTGATTCTTCCTGTAGTACATTTTCAAGCGACAGGAGTACAACAAACCCTTCTTCAGCACATTCACTAAGACTTCTATGTTTGTGCTGTATTTGTTGGGTTTCCTGCTGTGGCGGCCCTGGAGGCAACAGTGCACCGGCACTCTGAAACGCCGGCACTCTGCTTTTGTAAGTAGTCAAACCACACTTTCCCCACATGGGGGTGCTATCTTGTTAAAGTATTGTTTTACATTCCACATACAGTTGAACCCAGAAGTTTACATACACCATATAAAAAAACATAACCTTTTTTTCCCTGACTGTCTGACATTCAATGTGACAATTTTCTTTCCTGTTTTAGGTCAGTTAGGATTACCAGAATTATTTCTATTTGTTAATTGCCAGAATAATGAGAGAGATATTTTTTTTTATTATAGTACTTTCTTCAAAGTCAGAAGTTTACATGCATTTCCTTAGTATTTGGTAGCATTGCCTTTAAACTGTATGACTTGGGTCAAACGTTTTGGCCTTACTTCCACAAGCTTCTCACAATAGTTTGATGAATTCTGGCCCATTCCTCCTGACACAACTGGTGGAACTGAGTCAGGTTTGCTGGCTGCCTTGCTCCACACTCCTTTTCAGTTCTGCCTACAAATTTTCTACAGGATTGAGATCAGGGGTTGTGATGGCCACTGCAAAACATTGACTTTGTTGTCCTGAAGCCTCTTTGTAACTAATCTGGTGGTATGTTTAGGGTCATTGTCCATTTGAAGACCCATTTGTGCCCAAGCTTTAACTTCCTGACTGATGTCCTGAGATGTTGCTTCAATATTTCCACATAATGTTCTTTCCTCATGATGCCATCTATTTTGTGAAGTGCACCCGTCCCTCCTGCAGCACCCCCCCTCACACAACATGATGCTGCCACCCCTATACTGGGATAGATCTAAAACAGAAAAAGTTTAGTCTGATTTGATGTCAGATAGTGAGGAAAAAAAAGGTTATATGTCTTTTTATACATTGTATGTAAACTTCTGCTTTCAACTCCATCTGCTACAGGATGTCAAATCATGCACTCTGCCATGTTTACTTACTTTATTCTTCTAAACTGCACCTGCTGCAGAATCGTAAACTTGTAAAATTATGTTTTAAACCCCCATTTTTATTTTTTATTTTTAAATAACTTGCTGGGTTTTCTTTTAAAATATTAAAAAATCGCTATGAATTTTGTTTAAGTCCACTTAAAAACTGGAACTCTTGTGGAAATCCATTCAGTGTGACAAAGAGAATGTAAACAGATGTGAATTCTTGGTTTTTGGTCCCTGAGTTCATAGTTTGAGTTGCACTTTTCTGCAGTTTGCTGATGCCGAGGCCTACTTTGCACCCTGCACCACTGACACCACTGTGAACAACTGCTTGGTACGTACTAAAAACCATTTTGACTCTATCTGTGGTGGTTGAGAGTGCTACCTTCATGACTGGGTGGAACTTCTTGTCCCTGCAGAGTGAACCGCTGTATGTGCCAGTGAAGTTCCAGGACGTACCTGTAGAGCACTCAAATGGTTTAATTGGAGACTGTGAATCTTGTGAGTACTAATGTCAAAGGACATGACATGCAGCATATTTATGATCTTGTGTAAATAAAATATGTCCTCTTTTGCTGAAGAGCTTAAGGTTTGACTGGTGTGTGATTGATTACTCCATCAGTTCTAAACAACAGAGGGCAGTGGTGCGCTATGTAAGCTGGCAATCACTTTTAGAGTCAGTGTTGTAGAGACCTCTGTCTCACCTTTTAGGTAAGCCTCAGACTTAGTTCCTTTGCTTTTCTCTCTTTTACATTCTAGCATTAATAAGAACAAAACTATGATTAGATAGTCTCAGTTGTATTTCACAGGGATTTGTTTTGTCTTTCCTACATTAGATTTCCAGAGTCTAGAGCCACACAGTACAGTTTTGAGACAATTTCTTAGGATCGCTGGTGATTTAATTTCACCTACGATTGGCACCTGTATTAAAAATGAATGCTTGTGTTCAGCTAAGTCATACATACATAGGCACCTAATGAGGCCAACATTTTATTGTCAGATACAATAAAGTGATGGGATTGCTGCAAATACAAGTGGACTCTTAAAATTACATTTTATTTACACAAAACTTGTTATCAATTCACTCCTCTCTCCGTTTCTACCTCCCAGCTTCCAAAAAGCAGCGGGTGCGTTTTAGTAATATCATGGAGGTGCGCCAGCTGCCCTCTACACAAGCCTTAGAGGCCAAGCTGTCCCGCATGTCCTATCCTGCTGCCAAGGACCACGAGGCCATGTTGCGAACGGTGGGAAAGCTAACCATCACTGATGTGGCCAAAATCAGCTTTTTCTTCTGCTTTGTGGTGAGTAGACGTGACTTTAC